GGGGGTGCTAGTTGCAATTGGGAGGAATGTAGCCCTTTTCGAAGGAGGAGGGGGCGTGCTAAGCGGGCAGAAAAGGTGGGGGGAGATATGGAGGTCTGAAAACCCAGATTCTCGTGGACTAGATGGAGGGCCAACTGGCCGTATCGCTAGACCGCACTTGTGGTGGAATTAAACCGCATGTGTGTCTGCATGGCTTGTCCTGTTTCTATATATTACAGGGAGCTTAAAGAGCTGCATCTTGCAAAGGCGATCCTGGCAGATCCGATCTCAGGAGCCCATTTCTCTCTCTCTCTCTCTCTCTCTCACACACACACACACACACACACACACAGCGATATTTGGATAGATCTGACATCGCAGGCACTCTGATCTCTCCGGGGGTGGGGAGCAAGAATACTGACCTTATAGCCTCCTTTCTTTCCTGGTCCCCAGTCCCCAAATTTACTGTCAATGGAGATCGGGGAATATTTTTGTTTCGTTTTGCTTTTTTTAATCATCTACATTTTTGTAACCCCTCTCTTCCAGATATTTCGCAAGCTGGCCTTGGCAATCGTTCGCCCTTTGCGAGCACAGCTTGCTAGAAATGCGATGTCTTCCCCAGCAGGAATTGAGACTGGGGGCGGGGGCGCTGGGGAGAGGCAAGAAATGGTTGCTGGGGACTAAAATAAAATACGAGATGAACCCAGGTCCACCGGGAAGACTGGAAGATTCCGCTTCAGGATCTAGCTAGGAGGTAAGAGCGGGGTAGGGTGGGAAGAAGTCTCTCCCTTAGTCCTGGACCCCAGGTCGGACCCTTGAGGGATCCCCATTTCCAGACCGGCTTTGAGGTGCTGATGTCCTCTGTTGGCCGGCTGGATTCAGTCAGAGGCTTCCGGCTGAGGATTTGAGACAAGGCCCATCAGAGGGGCCTGAGTACCAGTCTGCTAGGGGTGGGGAGTTGGGGGGAAGCGGCAGGCGGAGGGAGTGAAGCACCTCGGAGTTGCAGATGGGCATCAGGTGAAGACCAACCCCCCCCCAAACAAAACGGCCGCAAGGAGCGACTGAGAGCATGAGAGCAATCCGTCTCCTCTCTGCGTGTCCTCGCTTCAAAGGATGCTTGTCTTCCTATTCCATCCCGTTGATAATTGACTCATAAGGATGTGGGGTGGGTGGGTGTTTTAAAAAAGAACTATTCCTGCGGGCCCTTTAAAAATTGAAGGCCTGGATAATTCTCAGAACAAAGTCATCCCAGTAATTAGGGACCGGTCCCCTCCTCTTGCATATGTGATAGGCCAACCTTTATATTCTAGGCTGACGATTTGTGCGTGTTTGTGTGTTTCTTTGCTCCTTTTAATGGACCTAGATCATGTCCAACGTTTTCCCCACCTGATTCCAAAGAGAACCCCCCAGTTTCTTATGGCTGAAAATAAAGAAAATGTTTTACTGCTTTCCATGTTGCAAAGCATTGAACCGAGAGGGTCCTCTGCGTCCATTTGGTAAAGTAGGCAGAACATCACCCGAGGGGTGCTTTAATAGAAATCTAATATAAGTGAGTTTTGATTAAATTGCCATATTTGCCCAGGCAAATATCCGTAGAACTGTGGCCGGGACACAAACAGAACTAAGCCTCGATGAGCTCTGTGGGGCTTGCTTCTGAGGAATTCTCCCGAAACAAGGGAATTTCTTATTGCAACCCTCGAAAGCATTTAAAGCAAACCTACACTAGATAATATATGTGGATGACTGGTCTCCTAGCTAAACAGCTCAATAAGCACTCAGCTCGATCCTAAACATACTGGCTCAGAAGTCCCTTTGAGTTCAGCGGGACATAAACTATAGGATGCGCACAGCCCGAAGGTATTTAGTAAAAAAGCAAACAAAAAAACACCTTGGACTTCTCATTACCTTGCGACTGGTTGTTCCTAATCAAGGCAAAAATTATCTTTTAAAAAAATTTAAACCTAAGCACACACCTGGAATAAAGCCCTATAGGACACAACAGACTTAACTTCTGCGAAAATATGTGTAACTTATTGCGCTGTAAGTTCGGGCTTCTCTCCTACACAATGGACCAACATAGCTTCCTGCAGTAATTGTACGTCTGTATTGTCCCCCCCCCCCAATCGATATCTATTTGGGGCGAAGGGAGCGGGGAATTACATTTAAGAAATGCTTTTACGGTGGCGCGCGTGTGTGTGAAAGAGAAATAAAACTGTATTTAAAAGGTGAAGTTTTGTCCTGATAAATGAGTTTTCATTTGGAGTGCAGGTTATTTAATTATTTCAGATAAATATATACTGGGGTTGTGTGTGGAGGGTTTTTTTTGGGGCGGAGACAAAAATAGACAGCCCGAATCAGTTTACAGCAATGTTAAAACAAAACACTGCTTTTAAAAAAAGAAGTTACCCACAGGGCAGAGGTTAGACTTAAAACTAAAGAACTGAAACTATTGATAATAACATAAAATCCGAGGAAAGCATGCAGAATTTCTCCCCCTTGCCTAACCAGAGGACAAATTCTGGGGCAGAAGAGACTGTCCCAAGAAACACCGAAGGAGGAACAAGCAGATGGTTCGTTTCCTCTTCCTAGTAATTTTCTGGTTTCTTTCGGTGCCCCCCGCCCGCTCTAATTTTCCTCTGCTCTCCACCGCTGCAGCAGTTGACGATCTTGCAAAGTTGCAATCCGAAGCATATCCTCTCTCCTCGAAATCGGTTGGGCTTACTTCTTCCGAGGTGTGGGGGGGGGGGGCACAAGGCGACAGATTCGACAGCTGGAATTGCTCTCGTGGAGGGGGGAGTCCTTCGCCAGGCGAGCTGGCTCTTAAGGGGTTGCAGGATTGCTCCCGATCCTTGACACCAGGCGACTTGGATGGATTCCTTCCTATTTCGGTGGATGAATGGGCAAAAGGGCAACGCAGCCCGACCTCGGTTCTTCGGAGCAGTCCGCATGACGACTCCAGCATCAGGCTTGCTGACCCCTCTCTCCGTCTGCCCAGTGGCCTGATTGCTGGGGAACGAAATCGGCGGAACTGAACATCTGAGAAATTGCCATGAGAACCGTATCTGTGCAACTGGGTTGAGGATCCCACCCATACAGTTTTGACTACATAAAAATGGGGGGAGTGACATCAAGAGGAAGAGAGCCACATCTGTTAAAATAGGGCCATTTAACCGCAGAACCCTAGTAGTTATTTCTCAAAAGTCAGGCCCACTGGGGATTGTTCCCTAGTCAGTGTGCCCTCAGCATATCGCCGGTTTTCTTCCTTCACTTTGCATCCTAGAGCTTTTGTCGCTGAACCTGAAAGATTCAGAATCTTCCAAATAATTTTTTTTAAGGGGGAGGGGGAAAAAAGAAAACACCTTATGTTTTGGCAATGAATCTTCTTTTACTGTACAGGAGGCTTGGATCCAGGATCCTCATTGCTGCGAACAGTTCCATTAATTTTCACCGCAGCTGACAAATGTGGCCTTATTGTTCTCCACGCCTTCTTGCAAATTCAGGTACCTGCCCAGACTGAGAAACCCTCATCACATCGTACTATAGTAAATAGGAAAGCGGAGAGGGCTTCATTAAATCTACCGAACAGCTAGAGAAAACTCAGTTCGTAACACAGGTTTATCTCTCTCTTTTTTTTGGGGGGGTGAATAAATCTGCATTTGTTAAAAGTACAAAGCTGTTAAAAGGAAAGTGAATATATGGGGGCGGAGAGAGAGAAATTCCCTCTCAGCGGTTCACTTCCTCTTACTATGCCTGGAACCCACAAAAAAAGTCTGCAGCAGCGCTATTTCTCAATGGGCAACATTTACAAAAACGCTTAATATATATATATACAGACACACATCACACACAGGGAAATATTGTACTCGAAATTTAAGGGGAAATAATTATCATGGATTGCAATATGCCCCCAAAGCTCAGAAAGAATATTAATATTATCAATTAATTATTACGGGCTAACCATATTTATTATTAAGAATATAATAATAATATTTGCCCTTCTAGGATTCCCTGAGCTACTGAGCTGAATGAGACTTTTAAGACTGCTCAGAAACTACTGCGGACTGCACCTTTTAGTGTTCCTGCGGCCTGAGTTAAGTAGTACCCAGTTAGTTCAATGGGGCTTTGCTTTCAGATGAAAAGGGCGTTGCCGTCTTGGTTGGAAATCAATTCCATTCAAACCAGCGGGATTTACTTCTTGGTCAGGGAATCAAAGGGGGGAGTCCTCTTTCGTTCTGCATTTCGACTTATATTTATCGCCGTGAAGTTTTCTTTATATGCCATGCAAGCCAGAGGCGACATCTGAGAACCCGAAAGAGTTTCAGCAGGCGACTGGTGGGCCCGATCCAGCTGAAAGCAGGCCCGCCTAGAAGCCAGACCCAACACTCACTCAACATGGAGCAAAACTCACCCAACTGCCCTGAGATATCCGCGCAGAGTAAGACGCTTCAGGGTATCCCTCCGTCGTTCTGGTGAAGCCAACGGGGCCGGACTAAGTCATCTTGTTCCATTGATATCGATGGGACGTCCGGCCTGATCCTACAGGGTCTCTTCGAGTCGAAAGCCCCGTTATTAAAGGGGCTTTTACTTCCCAATGAAATGATTTAGACACAGGCCTGCTTTTAGCTGGATCGGGGCCATCGCTTTCACTAGGAGTCGGTGCTGTTAGTAGGTCGGCCCTGGGTTCACATTAAAAAGTGGGGTTTGACTGCAGTCGCTATTTTATTCCCCACCCCCCACCCGCCAAACGCACCACACAAATAAATAAACACAGAAACTGTCTGACGTCAGACGCTGCTTTGAAGGAAATGAGAATTTCTTCTCCTCACCTCCCTCACCTCTAACCCTAACACCCCCCCAAAAGAAATACCCCACCCCACTGGTTTTGAACTGGATTGCTGTGGGACTCAAGAACCGGGCGGTAGGTTTACCCGGCCTCTAGTTTCTAAAGTCACAAACAGGTGGACACATATTTTTTTTAAAGTTATTTATTTTTAAACAGCTAGTTCAGGTGCTTTTTTATTTTTCTTAGATGAAAACACCATTTAATATCCACACACCCCCTTTCTCTTGCAGTTCATTAATCTCCCCCTCCACCTCAGGGTTGCACGAAATTGCAAGGCAAACAGCGCGGCCTTAATAGCGCCTGCGTTTAGAAAGAGCATATTGTATTTAGGCGGAGTAGAAACAACTTAGTTCTCTTTCTCTTGAAGAAGTTGCTGAGCGCCTTCTCCCCCAGGCATAAAGGCAAAAGGACGATTGCTATTTTCTGTTGTCTCTTCCCCAGCTCCTCTGCGGCGCTCGTCTAGGACAAACTGAAATGAAACCTCCTCACTCTGCAGGTCTCCAGAGTTGCACAGCCCCTGCAAAGTTCCCCATGGGCCGTAGCGGCAGACCATCTAGAAGGTCGTTGGTTCGATCCCCGCCATGTCTAGACAAGGGTGGGGATATCCCTTGAAAGCCCTGCAGAGCCGCTGCCGGTCAGGGCCAACGATAGTGAACGAGATGAGCCAAGGGTGAAGAGAGGTAGCTAGTTAACTAGGGCGTCCGCTTGGCATGCTGAAGGTTCAATCCTCTGAAGAACCGCTGCCAGTCCGTGAAGATGGAGCAAGGGTCTGAGTCCGCCCAAGCCAGTTTCCTATGTTCTGCTGTTTAAAGAACAGAGCAAACCCTAATAATTTCACACTAGGAAAACAGAACAAAGAGGTTTTTAAAAAACGAAAACCCACCCTGCAGGGGCGAGGGGTTTGGGGGGTTTTTTTGCGGGGGAAGAAGCAACTTCTACTTGTAGGTAGACAGCTAGCATCTCAGGGTTCAACCTAAGCCGAATACTAAGCTTCCATTTTCATGGAGTGTTTTTGGTTTGGTTTTTGACCACGACCACACAACCTCCAGTGACTCAATCCGGAGAAAAGTTATGTCCTCAAAATGTGGGATTTTGGTCAGTTCTACCCTTTTCCAAGGGAAGAAGCAAAGCAAGCGGACGTCCCAATGGCCGTGTCAGATGATGAACTTTCTCGAGTGTCACCGAGCTCTTCCTCGCTACCCCTTCTTGGCCTGCTCTCCTCCCACGCAGCGAGAAAACCTGCATCGTTACAGTGGTACTTCGGGTTAAGTACATAATTCGTTCTGGAGGTCTGTTCTTAACCTGAAATTGTTCTTAACCTGAAGCACCACTTTAGCTAATGGGACCTCCTGCTGCCGCCGCGTGATTTCTGTTCTCATCCTGAAGCAAAGTTCTTAACCCAAGATAATATTTCTGGGTTAGCGGAGTCTGTAACCTGAAGCGTATGTAACCCGAGGTACCACTGTATTATTTATGCTTGCATTGATACCCCAACCTCGAGGCGGCGTACAAAGTTTCTCCCCACACATTTTATCTTCACCACACCCCTGCGATGCAGGCAAGGCTAAGAGGCAGCGTCCGTGGCCCAAGGTCACCCGGTGAGCTTCGTGGCTGAGTGGGGATTCGAACCCCGCTCTCCGGGCTCCTAGGTCAGTACACCACATCGGCATCCTTTCTTCAGATTCAACCGGACGCCAACAGGTCTTTCATGGAGCTCAGGGGGCAAAACCATAAATGAATGAGCGAACAAATAAGCAAATAAATTTCCCACGCTAACGTCACCCTCACTTCGCGCACCTTCCTTAATCAATTACTTAACGGGCGAGAGAGCTCTCATTGACGCCAGAAGGGCCATGCTAATCTGCAATTGCCAAACATCGCGTCAATCAACGCCCGATCGCCACCTAGAGAGGGTGGTGGGGTAGAACCCCCCACCGAAGCCGAGATAAGCCCCTTCTTTGCGGACTCTGAAGAAAGGGGTGCAGGCCGGGGCTTGCCTTCCCTTTCCCTTTCAAACAAGCAATCGCTCTTCATTCATAGAGTTTCATTCACAGAACTGTAGAGTTGGAAGGGACCCTGAGGATCACGTAGACTAGCCCAACCCCCTGCAATCCAGGAATATAGAGCCGTCCCATACGGGTATCGAACCTGCAACCTTGGCCTTATTACCACCACGCTCTAACCAACTGAACTGTTCTCTTGTAATGACATTGGGTGGAGGGGTAGGTAGGGGGCCTGGGTGTGAGGCAAAAGCTCCCCCGTCGCAATTATTTCGTTCAAGAGAGAGAGAGAGAGAGAGAGAGAGAGAGAGAGAAAGGCAGTGTAGTGTAGTGGTTAGAGTGCTAGACTACGACCTGAGATACCGGTGTCCTAGTCCTCACACAGCCAGGAAGTTCCTTGGGTGACCTTGGCCCACAGTCCCTTTCTGTCAGCCTACCCTTCCTCACAGGGTTGTTGTGAGGATAAAATGGGGAGAAGGAAATGTATGTATACCGCCTCCAGCTCCTTGGAAGAAAGGCGGAATATAATAGTGAACAAACTAAAGCGAGCCCTGAGATGTTAGGCCCATTCCACTACCCTTCACCAATAGATGGGGTGGCTCTTGCTGGGGCAAAGGAAGGAGACGGCTGTCCTAAGCACATGTCACTGAACTGCTCCCTTGTGAGATTCGCTTTTTCTCCCCACCCCTCTGTGGCCTTCTCCTAGGGCGAGTTTAAGACTGTAACCTCCTGGGGACAGATGCTTCTCTCATTTAAAGCAGCGGCATGGGCGTAACTGGCCCTCCAGATGTTTGCTGGACTCTGACTTGTCCATCAGCTCCAGGTCAGTGATCAGGGAAAATGGGAGTCAGAATCCAACCACATCTGGAGGGCCACAAGATCCCCAACACGGATGGCGGAATATACGTCGAAACTGATAATATTTAGGAGGAAATAGATTCGAGGAGTGGGGGGAGGGAAAGACCAGAAATAACTTTGCCTGTCTTTCAGCCATGCAGGGCTTAGTTCAACCACGGGCACGTCCACACACACACACCCCGCCACGACCACAAGATCGAGTGATGGCTTTCACGTGTGAACGGGCCACCACGGATCTAACTTCACAGAGAACATGCGTGGCCTCCCCAACCTCACACGCGCTTTCTAAGAGCGTTTGGGACACCGGTTAAACTGCCCAGACTTCAGGCGTCCTGTGTTGAACATCGCTGTGGAGCGGGATCTGGCGTTATGAACTGATAGGCTAAACCCGTGTGTGTGTGTGTGTGTGTGTGTGTGTGTGTGTGTGTGTAAACAGCGACTGAAAACAATTCATAAATATTATAACGGATTTCTCTTAAGAGTTCTGGTGGACAAACAAAAAAGCGGACAACTTATTTGTTCTTTTTATAGCTAGCTACGCGGCGAAATCCTGTGCAAGTTTATTAGGAAGTCAGTGCCGCTTTATTCAACGAGGTTCTCTCCTTCAAAGGATGGAGTAGTAGGAAACAGCTCTCGCCACTCTGTCCCCCTGGCGTCCCGATCCTAAAAAGTTTTCCAGTCCGCAAAAGAGAGATTTAGAAGTGCGGTGTGTCCCCTGGTGAAATAAACCTCATACAATCATGTGTGGGTTTTAGTCGCTCCATCAACTGATCTGTCGATTGTGCACGCGCATCGTGGAAAACAGTCTTGGAAGATGCTTTCTTTCCGACGTAGGAAAAAGGGCCGGTGTCTCCTTTAAAGATGGTGATCACTGCCTGAAGTTTTGCAAGTACTTATGGTTTTGTTGTTGTTGCTGCTGCTGTCCCAACTCCACCCCGCGTCTCTGGTCCGATTTCTAGGAGCACCCCATTAGTCGGTTCGCTTTAAAACCAATTAACCCAGCCGATTAATCGGCTAGTCTTTGCGGCTCTGATATTCAGAAGCAAATGCCTCGATCTTCAGTGAAATATACAAGCGTATAAGGTTGTTAAGGTTACCGTGCTAAGACCATCCCGAGTTTCTTTCCAGTCGGATCCTAAACAAAATAGGGTCCTCTGGGTTTAATGGGGCTTGATCCCTCTTGAGTGAATTTAGGCTGCGATCCTAACTCAGATTATCTGGGTGAAAGCCCCGTTTAATTCAGTAAGAGTTCTTTCCGAACAGGCATAGCTAGGATACCAGATATGCGCTGAAATCTCAAGCATACCTGGAAACAAACAAACAAACAAACAAATCCACAAGAGAGCGAAAAATTGCGAACATGTGGATTGCAAAGATCTGGTCCTCGGGGTCGCTCCCAGACTGTCGCTATTTTGGGGTGAGAAGTGAGTCCATAGCTAATGTCCTTCTTTGCGAAGTTCGCCTGGGTTATCGCTTTCAAAAGTAGAAAAGGAACTTTTCCAGCTTTAAATTATGTCTTTATTAACGGGGGCGGGGGGGGGGAAGGTTGCGGCAACGGCGATCGCTTCTCTCCCTTAGATATTTCCAAAATATCATCTGCTTCGTGGGGTAGGCGGTTAAATTGATTCTTCTATTTTATCTTCACTGGGCAGTTAAAAGCAAGGAGAGTAAACAGAGGCCTGGAGATAAGATAAAGAAAAATGTGTGTGCCCGCAATTTTGCTCCCGAAGTCTTAATAAACGAGAGCGGCCCTGGAACCTTAAATGTGGACAGGACGGGGGCGGGATCTTCGCAGATCAGAAGATTAAAGAATCAGAAAAACAAAACGAACAACTAGTCTCACCATTAGGAACAGGGTGGAATTCTGTGCAAATTTTCGTGAAAGTAAACAGGCGCGGGGCTGCGCTTGGAGATCCACCGGGCAGAATCTGGCCTGCACGCTTTCCCTTAAATCCTCAAGACATAAAAGTACAAGAGCCTATCCGCTCCCTCAAATGAAACTCCAGAACTCAAGCCGCGGTGGTTTTTGGGGATCCCTGGCACCCCGAGTCAAGTCGCCCTAAAATAAGGACTCGAGGTTGATCTATTTATTTGACCTAGTCAGGAATCTTTACTCCCCTATCTAGCCAAGATTTACATATTTTAAAATCTCATAGATTTAAAATGACCGAATTAAACAGGCGCTTGAATCATCAGTTGAGATTTAAAAGCGTTGAACTTTGCTGGATCCGGCCGAATCGCTCCCTCTACCGCTGCTTAAACGCCACCCCATCCGAGGAGAGCGTTTTCCAAAATAGGATTATTCTTCCCAGGAGGCTGGTTTCAAACCTACGGAGGGATTTAGCTAGCCAGCTCTCTACCAACCCCGAATCAAAGTTACCCAAACGGATACACTGCCCACATGAATACTTGATCTTCCTGCGCTGGACAGAGGTATCGCTCCCTAGTTTAGAACTGGGTTCAAGGTGGACGCTTTTACTAGATTTCCTTCGAAAGTTCCAGGAAAGAAAGAAAGAAAGAAAGAAAGAAAGAAAGAGAAAGAACATTTATTTCCTATTCGTTTCAATTGTTGTAAACCGTCTAGGGCACGTTCTGCTGCCAAGGCCGCATATATGAATTCCCAATAAAAGCACTCTTAAGGTCAATCATCATTTCTCAGAATTTCCATTATTATCGTTACGGATATTTCATAATTTATTTATTTGTGAGAAGTCAATCACCAGAATTTTTCATTAAAAAAGAATTAATAAAGAAAAACCAAGCAAAACAAAATAAAAAAAGGGGCGGCGGCCAATGATTTCAATAGCACGTTCCCATCATGGGATTCCGGAGATGAGACCCGATTTTAGGTTTGCGTATTCGAAAGTAGGTCCCTTTCGGTGTAATAGGACTTAATCCCAAGTGAGGATTGAATAGGATTGGTGTCCTAGACACTTCCCTTTTTCTGAAAGGGTAAAAAGAAATGGACAAATTTGTATGTGTGAAATAGAAAGCGAGGGCAAGAGAGTAAGATTCTCTCCCCCCACCACGACCAACATGTGGAATTATTCTTATTTTCGGACTGAGAATATACCCGGTTACAATGAGTTATTATTACTGCACCATGAGTGCACGTGGCGCCTCATCTTTTTATTATTTCATTCATTAAATTTGTTAGTCCTTATCTTGCCCAAGGCAACACAAAGCGGCAATAATAACCATAATGTTATTACTTATACCTATCTCCCTACTACGGGGGAAGGGCGGTAGCTCTGCGGTAGAGGATCTGCTTTGCATGCCGAAGGTCCTAAATTCAGTTCCCAATGGTAGGGCTGGGAACAGCCCCTCTGCCTGAAGCTCTCTGGAAAGCCACTGTAGACCATACTGGGCTGCAATGACCAATGGGCTGACTCGGTGTACGTTCATAGAATTGTAGAGTTGGATGGAACCACAAACGCCAACCCTTTGCAATCTTCTCCAACCCACAGATTAAGATTTTCACGCTCTACCAACTGGAGCTGACTAATTTAAAAGAGTCCATGTGCCCATAGGAACCATCACAGAATATATTAAGCTGTATTCCTTGGAATACAAAAGTTAGGTTTTGAATATATTCAAGATCGGGCCTTCGAACCTTGATATGAATCTCGCCCAATTCCTCTCTTCTGAAACTTGTAATGGCGCCCCTAGTGTCCGCGAGCGAGAGTTGCGGAAACTTCAGGAGCACGACCGTGGCTCTTTTCCCCCACCAGCCTGAGTTTTGTCAACATTTCCCACTGAGTAATCGCTGCTACCCAAAGCCAAACAAGCTAACAAGCCAAACACCAAAACACTCTTTGATTCCAGTGCTTGCTTGTTTATTTTTTAATATCTCTGCCGCAGGCCAGCCAGGTTACTAGTCCTCTCGACAATTTTGAGTTGCTGTTGGTTTTTTTGTTTTTGCTTTTTCTTCTTCTCCTCCCCTCTCTCCATCTTATTAAAAGCGCACTCAACAAGGGATTGTTTGGGGTCCCCCCCGAGTCGCTGGTGGTTTGGGGAGGGTTTGTTTTTAATAGGCCGGGGGAACAAGACGGAACACATGTTAAGTTTAAGCAGGTTCATTGAATCACGGTAAATCAAATAAAGTTTACGACTTCAGCAGGAAATGCGGGGCAAATGAGGAGGGGGAGGAGAGAGCGTGGGGGCGGGGAGAATCCCCCCTCGCAAAGTCAGAGCAAGCTGAGGGGAGGGGAGGCTGCTGAGGGGGGGTGCCAGGGGTTCTCTGTGTCCCCCCCTTCTTCTCCTCCCTGGAGCATTCTAGAGGATAAAAGACCCCGGACCCTCACTGGCGGCTCTCGCTTGGCGCCCGAAGGAGTGTTCTCAATCATTTGTCCATAAGTCCAGTCCACATCAGGAAAAATTTAATCACTAGAAAGCCAGACCCAGCAGCTTAAAAGGGAAATCGCCATTTCCCCCTCCCCCTCCTCTTATGCTCTTCCCCTCCCCCCTCCCCCACCCCACCCCTCCGGTCCTGGAATGGCCAACACTTTTGCTAGACAGGCCAAGATTTTTGGTGGGCTGAAATCTGAGGAAGAGAGCCCCCCTGCCTCGGCGCACTTTACAAATAGTATACACAAGAAATTGCAAAAAGCTTTAGTCTGCATATTGGAACAACGCTGGCCTCGATCTGCCTATATAATAAGAAGCTAATAACGTCGGCATTTGCAGATAATCGTCGACATAAAGCTGCTCCCCCACGAACATTGAAAACAAAAAGAGTTCCCAGAAATCTCGTCCAAACTTCGAGAACTGCCTCCCCACTTCCAGCGACTGGGCCTTTGCGCTCCCCCAAGTCGTGGTTCAAAGACATAACCGAGGTCCTGTTTGTGTACCAAAACACACACACACGCCCCCCGCGCTCCCGGTCAGTCGCGGAGAAAATTTGCTGCCTGGAGCAAACTTTCTCTGTAAATGTGGGAAATCCGTAAAAATGTTCTTCCTTATGGTCAAAAAGCAAATGTAGTAGCCCTGGTAGACGGGAATCCAAATTAGGACTAAGGGTAAGTTTTCATTTTGGTCTTGCTCAAGAGTTGATGCATTGGAATTAATCAGTTTCAGCGGTTCTGCTTTGATATGACGGTTGAGCTATCACGCGAGCAAAATGAGTAAGCTTTCAGGGTGTCCAGAGTCTTCACTATCCCAAACTATGGCTTTAGGAACACAAAATGCATATCTCTCTCTCTCTCGCACAAAAACACACAGTTACTAAACATCCAAATATTTCCCAATGTGATTAAAGCTGGTTTGAGCCCCTTGTTTTTGTTGGTTTGTTTGTTTGTTTGTTTGTTTGTTTCAGAGTTTTTATAGGACGCCTTTCCTCCGGATTGGAGCACGGGGCGGCTTTCCAGACCCAGCGCAAGAGCAGCATAGCAATCAAACCAAATAAAAATGGTGCACGTATTATACAAATCAGCAACCGTTAGTAACAGTGCGATCCTAACCATGTCTAGTCGGAAGTTAAGTCCTCTTCAATTCAGTGGGGCACCCACCCCCGTAAAGTGGGGTGAAGATCGCAGCCTAAACCTCAGTTCCAACCATCAGCATCTTCGGGTTCCAGAAGCCCAGATAAATAAATATGCTTCCACCTGTCCTGGAAATATGATAATGGGGGGGGGGCATTGTCCTATCTTAATCTCGAGGAGTTTGAGCGATTTCTTAGACTCACAAATCTGTCTTCCTTTTGGAAAAGGTGCAAGCGAAATCCTGCGCGCGTTTCCACAGAAGCAAATTTCACTCTGTTGGTTGAGGAACAAATTTATACTGAGTCAGAACTTTGGTGCATCTAATTCTGACTGGCAGCAGCTCTCCGGGGTTTCAGATAGGGGGCCTCTCCCAGCCCTACCTGGAGGGGGTTGAACTTGGGACCTTCTGCATGCAAAAGAGATGCTCTTCCATCCACCTGGAAGAAACCTCCCAAGTCCTTGTACTGCGACCTCAGGACGCGTTTCTGAGGAAAGGCTCCTGGACCGTCTCTCTGGTCAAGGCTGACAGTTTTTGGCACCCATACTTACTTGCTCGCGGGAGAAACACGTGGCTCCCTCTCTCCCTAACTCTTGAACTGGAGTTTCTGCCTTCCGATTCTTAACATAAGGTCGAGCAGGCCAAAGTGAGCGCTTTTATTTACGGAAAATTAGAAGGACTCGACTGAGCGGCGGGGACAGGGGGCTGTAGTGGCGAGAGGTCAATTAACTGAATCGAAGGGGTGCGCTTTCATATAGCGTCTAGGACCCAAGGGTACGATGAGGGGGTGGTGAAAAAATTCTGGATCGTTCCCTAAAAACTACACAAATTGGGAATAGCCAGCCTGCAGAAATCTTGCAAATTTTCATTGTGCATAAAATGACCCTTTTATTTATGAAGCTATTGGGCACGTGGTGGGGGGGCTGGCGTTTTCAGGCAGTATTCTTCGTTATTGCTCAGTAAGCTGCGCATTAGAGACTTTTAAACATATATCACATTGCATTTATGGTTTAGTCCGTTAAAACATTTTCGGGTATAGGGTCTCCCCCCGCGTTTTCCATGGATTTAAGATGGTATCACTGGGGTGCGCGCACCCACCCACCCCGCATTTGTGAATTGGGAGACGGGAATTCCTCTCTTAGTTACACAAAATAAATTGGATTTTTGTCTGCTGGGGGCAAATCGTGGGTGGTAAATTGGAATGTATCGCTGGAAATAAAATTGGATCTAGAATCCCTGGGAGCGATCTAAGGCGAACAAGCCAGCGGGGAGTTCTCCTGCGCAAGCTTTACTGAAGTGAACTGGCGGCTCCTCTCCCTTTTCCAAATAGGACTTGCGCAGCAGAACGTCTCGCGCAGATTGGGCCCAACTTATTTAGGACGGACGGGCTTTTTATATGTCTTTCATTTGCAAAGGGTAATCAGCAGCCTCTCACGTTGTCCTGAACAGAAATCCTGAACCCACCGACATTTCGTGCTAATTCGCATTTCCCTCGTGGTGCTGTTGTTGTTCTTTTTGGTATAATTTGTGTTTCTTTTATATATTGCAAGTCCCCAGTCCGACCCAGGACTAATTTAAATAGGGAAATTGTTTCTAAGCAACGAATAAAATAATATTGCCCCCAATGCAATAAATAACGCCTGGCACTGGTGCAGCGAATATCCCCAAAGCGCTCCTTAAAAAACCCGGTATGGCAGGCAATATTATCACTGCACACACACAAATATACCCCCCTAATGCAGACAGCGAGCAGAACCTGCCTAAGGACACCTGCCAATATGTGTGTGTAATATGCAATATTACATATGTAATAATAGTACATATGCAACAATGTGTGTAATATATAATGTTATACTGAGGAGTTCAGGGCAGCGTCCATAAGTCGCTCTCTCTTTTTATCCTCATAACACTCCTGCGAGGTGGGGTAGAGGAAAGAGAGAGAGAAGGAGGGGAAGAGATCGGTCCAAGATCCCCTCACTGAGCTAAGTCATAGCCCAGAGGAAGACTCGAACCCCTCTCTCCATTTTTCCACTGCCTCTTAGTGGGACTCTAACCGCGTTCAAGAGGTATTGTAGTTTAAGCGCAACTGAAGTCAAGGCAAATAAATGCAGAACTTAGTGGGACTTGTATCCCAGTAAGCATGGCTAGGGGCTCTGCAGTTCACAAAGCTCTGCCGCTCTAAGTGTTTCCAACACTGACTGCCAACGCCTGCCCAGGGTTTCAGGCAGGTGTCTTTTTCCGGGCCTACCGAGGATTGAACCCAGAACCTCCTGCATGAAAAACCTCCGAGCCCTTCCCCACAACTTGCGTCTTCTGCGACCCAAGAATTCGATGCAGTGGGGAGATGGGAGAAAAGAACAGAACCTACGGCGCTTTACACAAACCTGTGCCTTATGGGGGTAATCTGCCTCGCTGATCACAGCATTAGGATCGGGCGCAAAAGTGGCGTAGATGACTCTCAAACGGGAGAATGGGAACTCTGGCTACTACAAATCTCTCTCTCTCACACACACACACCTTCTGTTAAAAAAACAAACCCGAGGGCGTCGCTCACACCCAAAATATAGTGCAATTCTGGCAAATCTCAAACGCTGATGTTCTCTTATTCTGCCCGCTACACACACACGTACAATGTTTCATCGATGGGACGGGAGCCTTCTGGAAAGTTTCCCCTCTCCATTCCGTCCAGGGGACAAAAATTCAAATCACAACCCAAAATTCAAGAGCAAGCCACGTCTCTCTTCCTTGTCCCCTCCTCACATCGCCCCATGCCGCCTGCCCCATTTCCCTGCTTCCAGTTAAACCGGCTCCCGGCCGCCCCGACGGGGATGCTGCGGCCTCTCCGGGTCGGTTTGCAATCATATTCCTGAAGGGAAACGCGAGTCTGGTTCTAAATGAGTTCTACATACCTATCAACAGCTGGCTTTGCCCGCGCACTGCATAAAGGCGTGTGTGTGTGTGTGTCTTGGGAGGGTGGAAAGATCTCGCAAAGGTCATAAACCTGACTGACACGTAGCAATATTTAAGGGCCTAATTTGAACGAGCCTAATGTGGCCCGTTGATCCCAATGACGACAGTCGGGGTTCCTATTAGTTTCATAATTGCTGATCGCCGAATGTTGCTTATTTATATGTGAAATAAGCAGGGGGGGGCAGGTCGCTGCCTGGGGTTGCTAATTTTGGAAAAGAATTTTCTGAGGCCTCCCAGGAAAGCTGGAAGGGGGTGGGGAGGACCCAGAGAGCAGGCTAGTCTAGCGGGCGAGCTCGCAGAGGCGTTTTAAAGCGTCTCCCTTCTCATAGAGCAAGAAAGAGGCAGTGCAGTTCCTCAAATGGATAAAAGTTGCTAAGACACCGAGGAAGTCAAAAACTTCAGACCCTCATAGTTAGCCTGTCTCTCTCTTTCTCCACCCCAAGTCCTGAAGCCCTGGTTGGGCGAGGCGTTGCTTTATTTCATTCCTTGTTTGCAGATTTTATGGGTTGAACGCGTTTCCACCCGGAGTAAAGTGGCCGAGCGCAGTTGCCACTGAAAAGCAACCGGGGATTACACGAAGTCACAGCGAAACTCGTCGCCTCATCATGGGTTTTTATTAGGACCAAGGCTCAATTCACATCGCCTGAACCCAGCCCAGGGGTCCTTATTTATATAGCGTCCTCGCTGCGCCTGGAGCTTGATAAACAGGACGACGAGGAGGAAAGACAAGCGTTCAGGAAGGCAGGTCTTTGCCCGGAGGCGTTTACAAACTGAAACTGGCAGGGACATCGGGTTCTGGAGCTAAACTCTGGAGAGATCCAGCTCCCACTGTACCAGCATGGAGGCTAATCCACAAGATCCCCAAACCCACAAGGTGAAGGGGAAACCCGCCCCCCCCCCGCAGAGATCTACTGGCATATGCCAAAATACGCTATACTGGTATCCATCCATCTGTCCTTTTTGAACAGGATGCAACATCAGAGCAGTCACCTATGGAAAGTGCTCAAGTTTTTGGTTTTTTGTTTAAAATACCCCCAGTTCAAAGTCACAAGCTGCCCATATTTGGCGCGGGGGAGAGGGGAGCCGATTTGATCCCTGTCAGATAACATACCCAGAAATCTACGGTTTCCAGTCAACTGCCCCCGTCCCCCCCCAAAAAAATCTTCACTATCACCCAAATTATTAGGGATCTCGGCGGTCTACAGCAGGCATAGGCAAACTCGGCCTTCCAGATGTTTTGGGACTACAACTCCCATCATCCCTAGCTAACAGGATCAGCGGTCAGGGATGGTGGGAGTTGTAGTCCCAAAACATCTGGAGGACAGAGTTTGCCTATGCCTGGTCTACAGGGATAAAATGGCAGCGGCGATTGAAGGACTGGTAAAATAATTATCTAGCTCTCCAGGGTTGAACAGTAGCCCCCGATGGAAGAGTTTCTCTCGCCATGAGAGTCGTCCAAAAGCAAAGTTTAAGGAAGCTTGTCGACATTTTTTCCTTCTTTCTTAAATCGATATGGGCCGTGCTTGAGGGGAAAGGGACTACGTTAGCTGAGCCAGAGATCGCAAGAAGAGCAGCTCGATTTTATTTTCCTGTCCTCAACGTGCTGTAGTTTGCACGACGGATGTCCTCAAGACCATCCAAGACCACTCTGAAATGAAACGGGCGCGGGAATTAATTCTCTCATGCTTCCAGCAACTAAGAGGAAGGTCCTAGACAGGATCGCGGTGTTAGCAGTTTGCTTGGTTTTTTAAATTAGTTTCTGGTTGTGGTACTCGGTCGAAGTGGAAGGAAAGGGCATTCCAAGACTTACTGGAATAGATATTTAGAAGGGGTGAAAAACGGGTTGCGCATCTACTGAAAATGAAAGGGAGATGAGAATAACTGCTTGCCCAAGATTTGCATTCTAATGAATCACTAATACAACGACAATAAACTTTTTAAAAAATCATTTCAAGCTCCAAAACGCTTTTGCTGAGCCACAACGGGTGTGAAAACAGGGAGACACAAGACTGTGAACCGTTGTGCTCCAGTGGTCTGCATTCATACTGGTCGAGGATTCGAAGGGGGTCCGAGGGCAACTTGTTTAAACTTGGATTTTGCAGGGATTAAAATTACAGCAATTTCTATGTGCCAAGCAGGCCAGCTGAAGTGCCTGACCAATCAGGCGTTGTATACTGATTTATTTATATACACACACTGCTTTCACACACAATATTTTATAGACACACAGTTCCCCCTCTCCTTCTCCCCCTGAAAACCGGGCCATCCCCCCCCCCCCTTGCTGGTTTTAATGCTGCTCTGTTGTTTCAAGCCATTTGATTTAAACCTGTGGGTACCTGTGCATGGTTGGTGCAGCTTTATGTGTCGATAAAGCTTCACAACTGGATAATGGGCATATAGGAATGATATTCTCCATGCATAAATAGCCATTCATTCATTCATCTGGAGAGAATCTACCTTTCCCAAAAAGACTTTGAAACCAGTTTCTGAAAAGTTTCCAACGATCACTTAAGAGGCCTAGCTGGGTCCCTGTCAACCCAACCTATATGTGTCTTACTTGGAGGAGAAAGCTCAACTCTTCTCTTTCTAGGTCGCATCTGGGCTTCCTTCCGAGTAAACATGCACAGGATGGGGCTGCTGCAGATCTGAATTATTTCCTCCACCACATACTTCCAAGGCCTTGGGATGACATTGCTATCAACCACATGGAGGCCGTAGGAAAAGGTGCAGGATAAACAAGTTTGAGACAGACAGAGATGATCTGGTTGGCTTCCTGGGCCTGGACTTTCGACAAAAGACCTCAGGAAGGATTCCTGAGTAAGCTTAGCAGTCATAGGATAAGAGGAGAAGTCAGGAATTTGGTTAGGTAACAGGAAGCCGAGAGCAGGAATAAATGGAGTTATCCTGTGCTTTTCAACTTGATCACAAACAATTTAAGAGTTAGGTGTAACCAGTACACCACACTTCCTCTCTCTTTAAATCCATGGTGTAAATGTGGCCTCAGCACCTTAAAAAGCAGAGACATCATCTTGCCAGCAAAGGTCCGTATAGTTAAAGCTATGGTTTTCCCAGTAGTGATGTATGGAAGTGAGAGCTGGACCATAAAGAAGGCTGATCACCAAAGAAGTGATGCTTTTGAATTATGGTGCTGGAGGAGACTCTTGAGAGTCCCATGGACTGCAAGAAGATCAAACCTCTCCATTCTGAAGGACATCAGCCCTGAGTGCTCACTGGAAGGACAGATCCTGAAGCTGAGGCTCCAATACTTTGGCCACCTCATGAGAAGAGAAGACTCCCTGGAAAGGACCCTGATGTTGGGAAAGATGGAGGGCACAAGGAGAAGGGGACGACAGAGGACGAGATGGCTGGACAGTGTTCTCGAAGCTACCAGCATGAGTTTGACCAAACTGCGGGAGGCAGTGGAAGACAGGAGTGCCTGGCGTGCTCTGGTCCATGGGGTCACGAAGAGCCGGACACGACTAAACGACTAAACAACAACAAAAAATGTGGCCTGAGAAAGTGCATTGGCCATACTATATAGTAGCCTTAGTTAGATCCCCTGACTTAAAAACTACTCCTGAACTTCCAGTCTGGCTGATGTTGAGAGGGACCTTCATCTGCTGGTCAGGTCAGACTCACCCACCAGCTTTCCTCTTTCCCTCCTGCAGTCTAAGCCCCAGCTTGTTGCAGCTGCGAAGGGAAAAAGCAAGAGAGAAAAGTGCTCTGCAGATAAGTGAAAGTGGTATTTTTATAGGCTGATAAAGCCAAGCTTATCTGGGTTTCTCTTCTCTCCCCCTCCTCCTTCTTCCCAAGGGTCCCTAATTGGACATCCCTACCCCCCACCCACCCACTCCCACAGTCTCTGAGAGGCTCAGGCTTTTTTGCACAATATTTCCAGACACCAAAACGCCTGCTTTGTTTTGCCCTAGCCCAGGTGGGGGAAAGTTGTAGGGATGTGTATAGAAACTAGGAGAGGATATATTTCTTAGACGTTATCCTTCCTTACTTGCGCTTGTGAGTTCAGCACAGAACATCCCTTTGTCAGCAAAAAATAAGGATGCTGTTGATAAGCTAGCTTTAGCCTTTTAATTTAAGAAACCCAGGGTGCTTTATTGCAGACTGCATTTCCTGGTATTTCCCCCCATTTCTCCCCCTTAAAACAATAAACACGCAAAACAGTCTTCTTATAAGTAAAGATGGATTTACTCACTCAGTTTCAGAGTAGAGTCTCGAGGCAGGCTTAAAAAGTAGTTACAGAAATATATTATAGATTAGATTAGAATTGGAGTCTGAGTTGTAACTCAGACTCAGCAAATCCCTAGTCATTGATGAAGCATTGAAGAGATTGGATAGCAGGGATATGAGAGAGAGAGAGAGAGAGAGAGAGAGAGAAAGCAGGCCAGGCAACTGACCAGCTTATAAAGGTTGTGCCCCTTTACCTGGCTGGACAGTAGGAGCGGCTCTCATAGGGAGGACTTCCTGTAGACCCTGTGAGATCCAACCTCCTCTCTCTGTGTGTCTCTCTAGCAATCAGAAGTAGTTGGTTTTGATTGCCTTATTTTAGATATCCTACATCTGAGATGTTCAGGCTTTTAAGCACACTACTTCCAGATGCCAAACCAACCTGCTTTGTTTTGTCCTAGCCCAGGTGGGGGAAAGTTTCTGCACCTTTGGGGTGTGCTCCGCAGCGCCCTGCCAGATAGTATTACTAAAAATGGTGTCATTTCTATGGTCTCTCAGAATGTCAATTTAAAAAAAAAATGAATAGGCAATTTTGACAATCGTTACAAGGCATCTACATTTGGATTTACTAGCCACAGAGGAGGGATAATATTCTAGCTTGGCTCCCAACTCAGTTCATTTCATTGGAATCACAAAAGCAGCCCAGCTCCCTTCTCTTAATGATCTCTGTACCTGCTTTTCTGAAGTGTTATTTGCTACTTTTCTATTCAAGGAGTTTCCATCCTGCCTTTCCTCCTGGGAATTCAAAATAGCTTATTACCAATGTTGTCGTTGTTGTTACAATTTGTATGCCACTTCCCCACAGAAATGTACCCAAGGTAGTCCACAACAACAACAACAACAACACAACAGCAAAAGTCAGTTCTAATATATCATTACAAGCCACAGTCTGATACTAATCTATTCCACAACCTAATGGGACAACTTAAATAAATGATTCATTTTAATAATGTCATCATCATATTTTACATTCATTATAAAACTACTTTCACTTGCAAGGTTGTTTACGAGTAGGATAGAGGGTTTTTTGGGGGGGGGAATGATTTTTTAAAAATGTAATTTATCTAATTTTATAGTAAGATAACATTGATCAGTTCCAATGCTACAGGCTTATATCAGTCACATATAAGAAAAGATCTGTGTGAGGACACTGTCCAATTAGTGAATCATCGAATACATTGCCAAAGCTTCAACTACCCATGACACAGCCTCTCCATAAGTAAGCATGAGTGGCTGGAGGTCTTACATTAATGTCATATCTATTTACATAGTTGATATATGGGGACCATACCTTATCAAAATGGTTGTGTTTTGTTTGGCCTTTAACAACTCTTGCATTAGCTGTCTGAAAAAAAGATCCCATGTGGCTTTCAGTTCTGGCAGGAGTTATTGCAGATTACTGGATACAAAGCAGGAGATGCACTCTTGTGTACAGGACAGTGTGGGGGACGTGTGACCCCCCGATGTTGTCAGATTACAACTTTGAAGGAGCGTGTCTGTGGGAATGTTCAGGGTGGCAGGAGAGGATATATTGCTTATTAATATCCTTGCTAACTTGCCTTAGCAAGTTCCTTCACTTAGCAGAGTTTACATTCCCCTTTTACATGCACAGCAGATAGCTGGTTGCTTGTTTGTGTAAGCCTCTCACTACTGTACAATTCAGTCTGTCTCAGATTGAATTGTACAGTTCGTGGTAAATTCCCTTTAATCCCTCTTAAAAAAATAAAGACACAGCAATCTCATTTAAAGACAATAAAACAAGTTTCCTCACATCAGTACACAGCAGTTGGATTTCTGAAGGCAGACTTAATTACAAATAGGTACATGTGGATCTACCCCACATGGGGGAATAATCCAGTGCTTATGATAGCTGGAAGCTAAAAAACTAGCTAAAAAAACTAGCTTAAAAAAGACCTCCAGTCACATGCAAGGAAGGATGCTCCAGCCCAGGAAAAACAGGAAGTTTTGACTGCCTGACCCAAACATCCCCTTGCATGTCCACTCTAGGGAAAACAAGGAATGTTGTATTTGACTGCTCCCAGTGGATTACATCCTACAATCTCCACCCCCACTCAAGTCCAGCTCTGAGGGCCTTCTGGCAGTTCCCTCACTGTGAGAAGCAAAGCTACAGGGAACCAGGCAGAGGGCCTTCTCAGTAGTGGCGCCCGCCCTGTGGAATGCCCTCCCATCAGATGTCATGGAAATAAACAACTGACTTTTAGAAGATATCTGAAGGCAACCTTGTACCGGCAAGTTTTTAATGTCTGATGTTTCATCATTTAAATATTCTGTTTGGAGCCACCCAGAGTAGCGGGGAAACCCAGTCAGTTAGGTGGGGTATAAACAACAAATTATTATTATTATTATTATTATTATTATTATTATTATTATGGAATCCAACATCTGGAAGTGTGCAGATTCCCCACTTGGGTCACTCATTTAAACATGACTTGTTGATTTTAGGGTGAGCAACCCATTCCATAAGCCACTTTAAGAAACAACAACAACCCACAACACATCACTTGAGTTAGTGTTACTGTAAATGTTCCAGCTAATAGCCTCCCACCTCCTATGTATCTTTACTGGGAAATATCCTATTTGATTAAATAGGGTTGTTTGTTTATTTAGAGCTAGTGTGGTATAATAGTGAGAGGGTCAGACCAGGACCTGGGAGAGGTTCAAACCCCCACTGGGCCATGAAGCTTTTACTGGGTGATTTTGGGCCAGTCACTACCTACCTCACATGGTGTTGTGGGGATTAAATGAAAAGGGGGAGATGGTTTTATGCTGCCTTGGAACTCCTTGGAGAAAAAGGTGAGCTATAAATGCAAGTAAGCAATGTTTGTTTCTTATATGTATATACCACTTTCCCTCAAATAAGATAAAGGTGGTGAATGGTATTATTTAGAAAATGTATAGATTGCTTGGTAAAAACAATTGTTTAAAACAATCTCTAGAAAGATAAGGTTTATCTATATGGAAGATAAAGTTGTAGAAACACACCTCTGCCCCTGCAAGAGGTGTGTCTGGTATCATCACCTTCATTGCACAGTTTTCGTCAAATGTTGTAGGCTCAACTCTTTCCCCTGATCTTTGATGCTCTGTGTGTGCATGATTTTATTTATTTATTTATAACAATATTTTTATACCACTGCATCATACACACACACACACACACACACACACACAGAGTATATATACTGTGTGTGTGTGTGTGTGTGTGTGTGTGTGTATCACAGCAATTTATAGCAATATAAAAAAAGCAAACCAAACAATGACATCATAAAAAGTTAAAAGCAAAATTAAAAGCAAAATGGAATTAAATATATCAATATGCCTTTGTGGGGTATGTATTCGCAATTGCCTGCACAGCCCTGGGAGAACAAAAAAGTTTTTAGCAGGCATTCAAAAATTGGCACAGAAGGTGCTCAGGTGAATCTCTGTTGGCAGGAGATTCCACAGAATTCAGCTGATGACACTAAAGACTGATGATACTCAAGTATCCAGAGAGAGGATACTGGCTAAGGTTCTCCCCCGAGGTACCACTGTACTTCCAAGTAAGCATTTAGAAGACAGCCATGCAGACCTGAACATAGGGGTCTGGATTCAACAGTGTTCTTCCACCTTGGTGTCCCAAAGGTTGTTGGACCGCAATTCCCATAATCCTCAGCCAGCTCAGCCAGTGGTCAAGGGCGATGGGAGCTGTAGTCCAACGGCAACGCTGGATAGCTCAGTTGGTTAGAGTGTGGTGCTGATAACACCAAGTTTGCAGGTTCGATCCTGGTATGGGATGGCTGCATATTCTTGCATCACAGGGGGCTGGACTAGGCGATCTTCAGTGTCCCTTCCACCTCTACAATTCTATGATTCTGTGACACCTGGGGACCCAGTACTGAAGAATACTTATTTGAAAGGTCTATTGCACTCTCTTGGTCTCCCTTCAAAATAAACATGCTTGTGATTTGGTTTCCATCATGGAAGAAATGTGGGACATGGATGAATTAAAACAAGCCCAACATAAATATATATATAACAACAGAAGCAGAAAAGTGGTTTGTTGACTATAAATGTAAGTATTATTAGGCCTTTGAAACAAGTTCGAGTGATTTGTAGGCAGGATTTGCTCTCAAACTCCTCTTTAGGATAATAATGCTCAGTGAACACCCTATTACTTCAATACTGAAGATGCAATTCACGCTTCAGTGGCAAGACTTGGACGATCCTGTGTTGTAACCCTTGGAGAACCTTCAAAATATCCATGTTTTCAAGTACTGATGACCTAGCACAGACAGCCATCTTGAATCAATTGGTGTACACAGATAGCTGGAAGGACTTGAGTTGACATCTGATTAAATCCACATTTTAATGTGGGATGTAGGAATTAATTGTGCCCTCTACCCAGTCCATCAGTTTGATCTTTCTGGCTCCATTTAAAACTGAAGCAAAGCTTTCAGGAGCACTCATTCAGCAATTGCTGGCTAATCATGGTGTTTGGCTTCTGAACAGAAACAAATGGCCTTTTGAGATGGTTTGATTTCCCAAGCCATCATGTAGGAAGCAGGAAATCTATTGGAACAGAGTGCGGAGAATTCTCCTTGCTTTTCCTGACTGCTTAGAAAGCACTCTGGGAGACTTGCATAATTTTGGCCAACGGCGGAGGCCTATTTCCATAGAATGAAATGGTCCAAACTCCCATTAATTTGAAAGGGAGCAGGATTGCATTGGTCCAGTGGGGGGGGGGGCATGGCGGATGGGGCAGGGCTGCTACAGTTTGTTTTGACTTCTAGCAGCTTCATTTGCATAAACAATTTCTCCTGCCTGCAACCTCCTCTGTTAAAGGCACAAGCGACATAATGCACAAGATGCATTTGAGGCCACTCACCAAATGCCCAGTGCTGGATTGTAAAGAAATCCAGTGATATACATGCAGGTGCACAGGACCGGCCCTATCACTGAGTACAGGGAGAAAAGCTGCCTCAGGTAGCAGATGCTAGGTACAGGTGTTGAACTTCCTTAAGGCAATGGAGTGGCCCTGCTTCCCTTTTCTTCCAGACATCTGAAGGCAGCCCTGTTTAAGGAAGCTTTTAATGTTGATGCATTACCATATTTTAATACAGTGGTACCTCTGGTTACGAACTTGATTCGTTCTGGAGGTCCGTTCTTAACCTGAAACCGTTCTTAACCTGAGGTACCACTTTAGCTAAAGGGGCCTCCCACTGCCACCGTGCCGCTGGTGCACGATTTCTGTTCTCATCCTGAGGTAAAGTTCTTAAAGCGACATACTGCTTCCAGGTTAGTGGAGTTTGTAACCTGAAGTGTTTGTAACCCGAGGTGTTTGTAACCCGAGGTACCACTGTATTTTGTTGGAAGCTGCCCAGAGTAGCTGGGGAAGCACAGCCAGATGGGTGGGGTATAAATAATAAATTATTATATTATTATTAATATTCCTGTTGCTAGGTCAAAGTTGAGAGAGGAACAGCCTGAAGGATCTGTTCTTTCAGAAGATGATGTCCCTGCTCTTCTTCACTCTCTTCCCTGCAGCCTCATGGAACTGGGAATAGTGGAAAGAGGGGACTGCAAGACAGAGATCCTCCTTGAACACATTCCATTACAAAAACTCCAAAACAGCGAACTAGTACCTGAGTGTTCTCCCGATCCTCCTAACCCCTTTTAATTTCATATAGTGTCTTTTAGATGGCAAGCCTGTGGTCAAGGACTGTCTTATTGTAAGATGCTCTGTAAGATGCACACTTAACAATCTACAGCATGGGTAGGCAACCTAAGGCCCGGGGCCCGGATCTGGCCCAATCACCTTCTCACTCCAGCCAGTGGATGGTCCGGGAATCAGCGTGTTTTTACATGAGTAGAATGTGTGCTTTTATTTAAAATGCATCTCTGGATTATTTGTGGGGCATAGGAATTTGTTCATTTTTTAATTTTATTTTTTGAAAATATAGTCCGGCCTACCACAAGGTCTGAGGGACAGTGGACCAGCCCTCTGATGAAAAAGTTTGCTGACCCCTGATCTACAGCTCCCAGGGTTCTTTGCAGGAAGGAAGCCATGGCTTAAGAGAACTCTTAAGTGGCTTAAGAGTTCTCTGCAGTGTTAGTCTCAAAAGGGACGTTGCTACAGAGGTTTCCATGAAGTTCTCCTGCCCTCTAGAATTCAATTTGCCACTTTACCTGCTTGGGACACACTTCTGAGGAAACAGGCTTTGAGACAGGTTGAGAGGCCTCCCCTTCTCCTGGATGACCCCAACTTCAACCACACACGAAGCCCATGCAACCCCGCGCCCCCCATCCCATCAGCGAGGGAAACGGATGCGAGGTGTGACGTTATACCAAACAGATCAAGCTTCTAGTCCGGCTTCATTAGAAGCCCATTACAAGGCTGAGGGTTTGCAGGGGCAAAGCGGAGAAGAGGAAGGGGAGGAGGGCGCCCTGCCTGGTAGGAAGGGTCAGGCTAACCTTTCCACCCGCTCTTTGAGACCATTTTGATTCATGCCTGAGGCCGCGGCAGGTCAGGGGATCCATCAAACCCTCCTCTTTTCTCCAGAGGGGGAAAACGGGGAAAGGGGAGGACCGGAGTGAGGTGGGACGGAATGAGGGTCCGGCCCTCGTCTAGCCAGGTCGGATGTGTTAGAGGAAGTCTGGGCTCTGCCCGCAAGGCAGGTCTGCTGCTTTGTATTCCACAGCCAAAGGAGACAGAGAATGTCAAAGCTATACTTTCACAATAGAAGTAACAAAATAAAAAATTGTGTGTGTTGTGCTCTTACAACCAAGGGAAGTGAATGAACAACAGTTTCTTATTTCTGAGTACTTACAATAAGGCAGTGTACAATACAGTGGTACCTCGGGTTAAGGACTTAATTCGTTCCGGAGGTCTGTTCTTAACCTGAAACTGTTCTCAACCTGAAGCACCACTTTAGCTAATGGGGCCTCTTGCTGCCACCACACCACTGGAGCATGATTTCTGTTCTCATCCTGAAGCAAAGTTCTTAACCCGAGGTACTATTTCTGGGTTAGGGAGTCTGTAACCTGAAGTGTATGTAACCTGAAGCGTATGTAACCCGAGGTACCACTGTAATGCAAACCTTTTATAAGATTTAACATTATCCTGAAAGTCTCTAGTTCCTATGAATTTCCCTATGCTCCATTACTAAAAGAAACAGGGGATAGCAGAGCCCATTATGACTGCAGTTATTTCAGTTGCATTAGGCATTATATGCATCAACAAAAGCTGAGCTTACCTATGAATCCCTGCTTAGAGCGCCATGCCTTTCCCTGAATGCAACCACACTAAGACATTGAGGATGAAAATAAGAGAGGCGGGGGGGGGTCCCCATTCCCTATCCAGAGATGCTGGGGCTTGAGCCTGGGACCCTCTGCATGTAAAGCAGATGCTCTACCCACTGAATCACAAACATGGGAAGCAGCCGTCTCATACTGAAACAGGCCAGGCATACCAACTTGAATAAAATATTGGTGGTGGTGGGGAGGGCAGGTAAGCCTTGTCCTGCATAATCGATCATGAGATTGGTTTGAATAGCAATGCCCATCAACCTTGGGGGGCCCTGCCCCCTCAAATATTTTATTGAGCATGCCAAAGGGACCTCAGCTCCTAGGAGTTGGCTCCTATGAATCAGACCATTTGTGGGAATGTTGAGGAAAGTAGGAGAGGATACATTGATTAAATATTATCCTTCGTCACTCTCGCTAGTGAGCAAGTAGCAGAGCACATTCCCTTGTCTGGAAGCAAGTTGATGGATTCACTAGAATCATATAAATTGAACAATCCAGTCTGGCTGGTCCAGATTGGATTGTTCCTGGTAAATTTCCCCTTTATTTCCCTCTTTAAAATAATAAGAACACGACAGCCTTTTTTGAAAGTGGTGGTAAAGTTTACTTACATTCAGTTCACAGTATTGGCGCCCGCCCTGTGGCACGCCCTCCCACCAGATGTCAAAGAGAACAACAACTAACAGACTTTTAGAAGACATCTGAAGGCAGCCCTGTTTAGGGAAGCTTTTAATGTTTGATGCATTATGGTATTTTAATATTTTGTTGGAAGGTGCCTAGAGTGGGCGGGGTATAAATAAATAAATAAATAAATAAATAAATAATTGTTGTGTCCCGAAGGAAGGCTTTATCTTGTGGATTACAGTTACATTTGCAGAGAAAAGAAGTCTGAGCTAGGCCTCAGACTTTCTACCTCGTGGCTTCCATCCTCTGTAAGGATGAGCCATGTGCTGCTGGCTAAGAGCCAGCAGAGAGGAATCCAAAAGGTGAAAATGGAAAAAGGCAAAAAGAGGAAAAGAGCAGCAAAAGTGCCAAAGAGGAAGATGGCTGTGTGACTAACCCTTTTAAAGGGTCTGCTATGGTCACACCCATCTACCTGGTCACACACAGCGGGAGGATGCTCCAGAGCAAGTATGACAGGAAGTCCTCCTCGTCTGGAGCAACATTCCCCTGTGCGTCCACTCTAGGCAACAGGAAATGTTGTATTTGACTGCTACAGTGATAATACATGCCACACCATTGGCCCTCCTAGCTCCATATTGCCTACACTGGCTGGCAACAACTCTGCAGGGTTTCAGACATCCAACTCTCAGCTTTGACACTGGTTTATGAGCCAAGGTTGCAGCGTTTGCGACATTTCAGTTTAGAGAACAGGCGAATGAGAGGTGACATGATAGATATATAAAATGATGCCCGGCGTGGAGAAAGCAGAAAGAGAAAAGTTTTTCTCCCTCTTGACACTAGAAATCATGGAAATTCAAGTGAAGCTGAATGTTGGGATATTCAGGACGGATAAAAGAAAATACTTCTTCATGCAACTCACAGCTTAACTATGGAACTCACAGCCACAGGAGGCAGTGACTGCCACCAACATGGAGGGCTGGACAAATGCATGGAGGGGAAGGCTAACCATGGCTACAAGCTGCAACATTCTGCCTCCCTGGTCTATCCTTGCAACAACCTTGCGAGGTGGGTTGGTCTAAGAGACAGTAGCTTGTCCAAGGTCCCTCCCCAGTGAGTGGGGATTTGAATCCTGGTCTCCCAGGTCCTAGGACATGGGTGGCGCTGTGGGTTAAACCACAGAGCCTAGGACTTGCCGATCAGAAGATCGGCGGTTTGAATCCCCATGACGGGGTGAGCTCCTGTTGCTTGGTCCCTGCTCCTGCCAACCTAGCAGTTTGAAAGCACGTCAAAGTGCAAGTAGATAAATAGGTACCGCTCCGGCAGGAAGGTAAACGGTGTTTCTGTGTGCTGCTCTGGTTCGCCAGAAGCGGCTTAGTCATGCTGGCCACATGACCCGGAAGCTGTACGCCGGCTCCCTTGGCCAATAAAGTGAGATGAGCGCCGCAACCCCAGAGTTGGCCACAACTGGACCTAATGGTCAGGGGTCCCTTTACCTTTACCTCCCAGGTCCCAGGACTGTTTCTCATGTTTTTATGCATGTGGGGGGGTGTTTTGTTTTACCAAGAACACAGAAACGGTAAGATCTTGGCAGAGATAGAGAACCCAAATGGTGCAGGAGCAGAAACCAAAGCCCCAAGCTTAAGAGGAGGCCGCCCACATTAGAGAACAGATATAAACATTTCTCTTTTAATTCCTCCAGACTCCAGCCTCACTCCTCCCTCCTCTCCCCTTTTTCCAAGGCAAGTGTACAAGATGTGGTTAGAAAAGACACGGCAAGAGTTTCTTGGATTTGAAGCCAAGAAACTGACACAAGGCCTATTATTTTAGGTTTTCCCCCCTTCAAATTGCAAAAGTGCTCCTTGTAACGGAGGTGAAGTTTATATGTGTGTTCAATAAAGTGGCTGTTTTTGTTTTGTTTTGTTTTTAAAGTGCCCAGGAACAGCTGGCACATCCTCTGGGAGGGGGGGGTAATGGGGGGAGTCCTGCATACATTTATTTTTACTTCTTTTCTCTTTTGATGCTTTTGTTCCCCGGTACAAAGGAAGGCATCCATTTAGGATTCTGTTATCTGAAAGGTGATCAAAGGAACCGGAATGTGCCAGAGCCCTTCCAGACACGTGCCAAGACACTCTGTCATTAATAGGAGTCCTTGGCTCAGACAATTGTTCTTTCCCCCCACTGTGTGGGTGGACTAATTTTGCTTAAGGGGTGGGTGACATCAGTTCTGCCATTAAGGAACCTCATTCCCCTGTGCGGTGGTGGTTTAGAGCAGGATTGGGAAAGCCACTTATAGCTTGAGGGCCATAGTTGTGGGATGTGATCCATGAGAGGCGGTCAAGTACAATATTCCTGGTAATGCTAGAGAAGACATGCGAGGGAATGTTTGGTCCAGCCAGTCGAAACTTCCTGTTCCTCCTGGCTGGAGCATCCTTCCTGTTGCATGTGATAGAAGATGGGCATGACCTAACCTGTCCAGGTAACAAAAGGATGAGTCACGCAGCACACCCTCCTCTTTTTGACTTCCTTCTTCATTTGACCAGCTTCTAGCTAGGACTGCTCTGCTAGCTCTCAGCTAGCAGAAGCACTGGGATTATCCCCCCATATGGGGTAGATCCACATGTACATATTTGTAACTAAGTCTGCCTTCAAGGATCCAGCTGTGAACTGATGTGAGTAAACTTCTTTTATTGACTTTGAATGAGATTGTGGCTTATTTATTCTTTTAAGAAGGATTCAAGGGAATTTACCAAGAACGTACAATTCAATCTGAGGCAGATTGAATTGTATAATAGTGAGAGGCTTACACAAGCCTGCAACCAGCTATCTGCTGTGCATGTAAAAAGGGGAATATAAGCTCTGCTAAGTAAAGGAACTTGCTAGCGAAAGTTAGGAAGGATATTAATAAACAATACAGTGGTACCTCGGGTTACATACACTTCAGGTTACAGACTCTGCTAACCCAGAAATAGTGCTTCAAGTTAAGAACTTTGCTTCAGGATGAGAACAGAAATCGTGCTCTGGTGGTGCGGCGGCAGCAGGAGGCCCCATTAGCTAAAGTGGTGCTTCAGGTTAAGAATGGTATCAGGTTAAGAACGGACCTCCGGAACGAATTAAGTACTTAACCCGAGGTACCGCTGTATATCCTCTCCTGCCACCCTGAATATTCCCACAACAGTTCCTTCTATGCAACTTCATGGGGGCCACATGGGATTCGTGGGTGGGGCCACAGCAAAAGTAGATGGAGCAATGCATGTAGATCTTACCTTGTTATAAGTATCTTAATTTCAGCATACCCTCAGACAATCCTCTCTATCCTCAATCTATCCAGGCAATCTAGCAGCACCATCAGGGTTCAAGGATGCATTCCAGCCAAGCAACAAGCATTGAAGAGTGTGGGGTTTGCAGCCAAATCACAAATGCATGCTTTGTTAGTACAGTATAAGGGGAGTTCTTAAACTTCCTAGAATGGACTCTTTGTGTGTGGCCACTTCCTTTGCCTCCTCTGGGCAGAAATGATAGTGCTTTAAACAGCCATGGCTTCCCCCAAAGAATCCTGGGAGTTGTAGTTTTCTAAGGGTGCTGAGCATGGGTGTAACCAGGATTTATGTGGGGGAGGGGAAGGCTTTATGTTAGGGGGGCAGAACCTCAGTTAGTTAAGAATTTTGGTTGATTTACTTGATTTAGGGGGTAACTGCCCCCTACCCCACCCGCTTGGCTACGCCCATGGTGCTGAGAGACTCCTATTCCCCCTCACAGAGTTATAATTTCCAGAGTGGTTTAATAATCTATCCCTCTTCCCAGAAGTGCCAACCTGAATAAAATATGGGGGGAGTGGGAGGTAAGTCCTGCCCCGCATAATCGATCACATGACATGGTGCACGCACACTATTTGAATGGCAATGCCCATCAACTTTGGAGGGGCCCGGCCCCCCTCAAATATTTTAAAGGGGGGGGATGAAGAACTCTCGGCCCCTAGGAATTGACTCCTTTGCCTCTTACCATGGGATTCTGGGAATTGTCGTTCTGTGAGGGGGATTAAGGGCCTCCAGGCAACTCCCAGCACCCTTAATAAACTACAGCTCCCAGAATTCTTTGAGGGGGAGGCATGACTGTTTAAAGTGCTATCGTAGGACTAACATGAATATGGCCTTAGGGGTCTTGGAGCATTCAGTAATAAAATTTTATTTCTCCTTGCGGGGAGGGAGGTAACGCCCCCCCCCCCACAGCGCACACACACGCTGCCTACTGCTTTCAGATAACGCCCCAGCTGGTGAGGAAGGCGGGTTGGAAGGGAATAATTAATCTCCAGCGAAATCCATCGCGAGGAAAAACATTACCTAAGTGATAGTGACAGGCTGGGGGGGCGAGAGAAAGAACACCCCCCCCCCCGGCGGCCGCCTCCATCCAAACGAGCAGCTTTGGATGATGTCAAACACAAGCGGGGCATTCTTTCATCGCGGGATGCAAAGAGAGAATTTCACAAGAGAATTAAGAAGGGGGCACCACCA